CTGGAGCCTTGCATTGCGTCGACCATGAGCTCCTCCGTATACCAAAGTATTCTAGAGCCAAGTGTAAGGCCATCTGTCCGACTGCTAAAGCTCTGCCGAAATTGGCTCATGCAACAGGACAATGATCCCAAGCACACCAGCAAATCTACAACTCAATTGAATTGCTGTGGCAGGACCTTTTCAGTTTATTTATATCGACAGACATTTTGTGTTGGATAGAAATTAAAAGTGTACTGCCAATCACTCTCAGAACAGAGAACTCCATTTTGTCTAAGACAGACACAAGATTTCTCTGTAACTCTGTTCATGCAAGTCTGAGCTAAGGAATGCATTCTGTAAACAAGCCAAGTGATAAGGCATGATATCTCAGTGCAAATACGGGGTGGATGGAATACTAACCCAGAGACAAATGTATACATTATTATATATACATATACACACTATCCACTTAACTTACTATTTTAGAGTAATCACATATTATAATAAATTACTTAGTATTACTTCGTATTAGTAAATTCAACCCTACTCGCTATACCGCGAGTAGGGGCATGTCTAGTAAACAGTGAGCTGCTCACTGAACATTTTTTTTTTAAACCCATTGCCCCCCCCCACCCTAAAGTAAAATAAGGGGGGGGCACCTATTGCCCTCCCCTCTGCCCCCACCCCTGAGCGGCGGGTGGGGGCCCTAAATAACAATGAGGAGGGACCTATTGTCCTCCCCCATGGCCCCCACCCCTGCGCGGCAGGTGGGGGCCCTAAACAAGAATGAGGGGGGACCTACTGTCCTCCCCCCGGCCCCCACCCCTGAGCGGTGAGTGGGAGCCATAAAGATAATGAGGGGGGGGACCTATTGTCCTCCTCCCGGCCCCCACCCCTTAGCGGTGGGTGGGGCCATAAAGATAATGAGGGGGGGGACCTACTGTCCTCCCCCGCAGCCCCCACCCCTGAGCGGTTGGTGGGGCTATGAAGATAAAGGGGGGGACCTACTGTCCTCCCCCCGGCCCCCACCCCTGAGTGGCGGGTGGGGGCCCTAAATGAAAATCACCCCCATTCCAAGCCCCTAGTCACCCCCCCCACCCAAATAAAAGACTATCCCCTACCTACCCCCTTCACCCTAAAAATAGTGAGTGGGGAATAAAATAACTAACCTGTAAAAAAAAAGAAAATTTACCATTTGATGTCTTCTTTCTTCTAAAATCTTCATTTTAAGCCCCCCAAAAAGGCCTGTTGTAGGGGGACCCCATTCCCATTCTTGGGAGTTATCTTGCTTGTATTGGGATAGTTTTATGTAAGTTTTTTTTTTTTTGCTTCCATTTACTATTTGAGGCACAAGTTCTTTAAATTAATCTTTATTTTCTGATGCTTGTCAGAGTATAATGTTTTATATGTTGACTGTTTGGTCCCTTATTGATATTATGGGATATTGTGATTTGCATATGTTTATTATTATATTTTGATTATCTTGTAATATACAAATTACTCTTTTTATTATTATTATTCTATTCTTTTATAGGGATTATCCCTATCCCTATAGTGGTAGATATCATGAGGCTTTTTCACTTATTTTTATGTTTCCTTTTTAAAATCATTCTACTTATAGGTTTCTTTAAGTATGACCCAGGACATACTTGAAAACGAGAGACATCTCAATGTATCTTTCCTGGTAAAATATTTTATAAATAAATAATAAATATGAACTATGGGCTATCTAAGTCCCACCACGAGCTTATCAGACCTGCATTCACTTCTGGACGATCCCGGACTTCACTTTTCTGTGAGTTACACCATGTGATCATAAGAGCCTGGTTTTAAAACTTTGGCATCCCAACAGCAGGTGGGAGTTTAATCTGAATTTCACTCACCTAACTGTGCAAGGAATGAACTGAATTCTGCAAGTCTGACAGTAAGGATTAATATGTGGTGAGTCTCACTCCCTTCCACAAGCTGGCACTTGGAAGGTTTATAAGACATCCATGAACACTGGGTGATTGTGGTTCCTGGTATCGATTTTTTCTGTAAGTAACATATATTGTTTTTTTCTATATTTATAGTATTTGCTGTTTGCACAAGGAGTATTCTTGTCCTTTGTTTTTGAATTGTTTGGATCTTTTTTTTTATCTAGCACACTGCAACCTAGTTTATGTGGTCCCTGATTTTTGAGATTAGGGTACTGTACACTAAACAGTGCATTTGAAGTGTACTAGATTACCTAGTAGTAGCAGGTTGTATTGACTCAATAAAGGGGTTTGTGTTATAGTAGACTATTTATTGAGGCTTTTGCTACAATGTGTTTTACTATTATATACAGACTACATTCCATTTATGCTAATTGTATACCCTATTACACTATTGTATCCTTTTGTGATTTTATGCTATTACCCTTGTCATTAGTGCTTTATAATTGAACATCTTGTGTTTTTTTTTTTATAGATGCTATATTTGCTAAATTGAAAAAAAAAATATGTATCTATTATAATTAATAACTCATTTGCTTCATTTGGATGTTTTATCTTTATTCTCTCTTTTTATAATTTTTTGCACTTTTGAAATTTAGCAATTTACCTGATATTTTACCAGGATTTCTGTTCCTTGTTTTATTACATGCTTTTTTCCACTTTTTTTTTGTATTTTTTAATTCTTTTTATTTTGCGTAATTTTAGTTTTGTTAATTTTGTACATTGCCAAATTTGGGACACTGCCTTTAGATGTATTCAGAATACTTTTCCAGTGCACCATTTATATTGCCTGTTTGAAAATGTAGATAGATACCACACTTTTTGACTAAATTGCAACATGGCTATTTTATAAAAAAAAAAATATATATATATATATATATATATATATATATATATATATATATTTAATTTGAATACTTTACTTGTATTTCAGATCACACTGGTTCAGTGTGGTGCATCAGTGCAATATTCCACAAAGATGTTGTACAATTGGTGGATCTCTCCAATTCCACAAAATGATATTATATGCGACCCATTATTTACCCATTTTCCCCTAAATAAGGCCCCTGCAATCTTTCTGCTCAACTGTCTACCATGAGTTAGATCACATTTTTTATGCAATCCTAGCCACACTTTCACTGACTGTGACTTACATAGCCTTCCTATACACCTGGAAAAGAGTCTACATGTTTTAGCTTCCCTTATTGCACAGTGTGTTTGTTTAATTTAGAATTTCTTATTGTGTGCTCTGTTAATATCTTGCTAGAACCTGTAACAGCTTTAACAGCTACAACATTCAATTACAAGAGCAGGAGATAATAACTTCTAAATTAAACACACTGTTCTGCAAGCTCTGATTGAAATTCACTTTTTTTCTTATAATAGAGGCTGTTTGAGTCAAAGACAGGGGAACCATCGATAAGGCTGCATATTTTTTTTTCCATGAAACTTGTTGTTTTGGTGCTGAAAGTATACTATACCTTGCAGAAATGCTGAAGGCCGGAAGGGTAAAGTGGACGGGGTAGTGATGCCATCATATCACTGACCGTCCCCAAATCGGGCTTAATACAATATGGCAATATAAAATAACTGAAACCTCATATTTGTTTGCTAAGATTGGTAATTTGAAATAGCCTTGCAAAGTGTAAAGCAATATTTTTTGTGTGCACTGCTCCTTAATCTTTATTTTGTATATATTTTGGTGTTTACGTCATCACCACTACTGAAAATGCATGTTCTGG